CCCAGCCGGCTGGGCTGGCGGGGGAATTCTGGGAGTTGAAGTCCACACATCTTAAAGTTGCTAAGGTTGAGAAACACTGGACTAGATGGAGGAGGACTCTTCGGGGATAGTTTCCCTACCAGACTAGGCTGGAGTGGCCTTCTATCTACCTGTGTGGTTTGTATCCCTTGCCAGGCCTTCGGGTGGCTTGGGACAGAATTGCGGACGGCACCCAGCACTCACTCCCTTACCTGGGTCGTGGCTTGAAGGACTGGTTTTGTGGGATTGGAACTGGCAGAGGCGGCTGGATTGTTGGATTGCCAAGTGCACAGATCAACTACTCCACGTTGGGTATGCTCCACACATTATGTTGCATTTGGTGACACGGCAGTGGGAAGGCGGCCAGAGGAGCCACCGACAACAGGGGAGGCCCTCTATTGTCTTACAGAGGGGATGTGTGCTGAGGATGAAGTCACTGTAGGTGAGCAGATGGGGGCTGCCTTTTTCTTTCATTGTGCACGTGTGGAGGTGGGGGATTTTGTTGTGGCAAAGGCAGAGCTGGGTCAAGGGAGTTGTGGCTACTTGGGTTCTGCAGCTGCAACTTCTATCCCCCCTCACAGTTGGTAGCCATCTTGCCTCCTTCCTGGCTTTGTAACAGCCATTTTAGTGTGGGCCACTCTCAAGTGGAAGTCATTGTGACTTAAGAGGACTTTGTGAGGATTTTGATCAGGAATTGGACTGGTCATCAAGTATGAAAAGATTGTGAATTGTAGACTGTGATTCTGCTTAACTTCCCACAGGTGAAAGCCAGGGGAGGGAGGATTTTGGATCACTGGGATTGTGAATAGCTGGGTGCCTAATCAATGAGAGGGGACTGGCTGAAGGCATTGTGTGATGGTATATGGGGGGGGGGGGGCGCTGGTTAGCTGGAGGTGCTGAGTGCTCAGCAGAAGGGCCTCTGGTCTTAGGGGGGCCTTGGTTGGTTGATTGTTGGTTGTGTAAGGTGGGGAGTGTGAGCCTGGGCTTGGACCAATATGGGCAGGGAAGGGGATAAGCCTCTGGAGGGATGAGGGCAGGCTACAGTATTTTGGTAGTGATGAATAGGTGGAGATATGACAGACAGGGGGTGGACTGCTCTTGGGGACCATGCCATAGGTATATTGTTCCTGTGGCATGTTCCAGCTCCCAACCTCACTCCTGGGCCCTGCTTGGCAGGCCTTCAAGGCCCTGGGCTGTTGGCTGCTGCTGCTAAACACCAGGTTGGTTTGTAATAAGGCCACCCTCATCCATGACTTGATTCTGGATGAGAAAGCTGACCTGGCATGTATTATGGAAACCTGGCTGGGGTAGGGTGTGTGTGTGTTCCCTTTCTGAGATAAGCCCAGCTGGGTTTCAGGTGTGGCATCAGTCAAGACTCCAGGGTAGGAGTGGTGGTGGTGGTGGTGGTGGGGGTCATCCAAGATACCTGGGAGGCATCCAGGGGCGCTGTCCCACAGATTGCCTGGTGCGAGACCCTATTTATTAAGTTGGGCTCTAGGGATCAGTTGGAACTGTTGCTCCTATACCAGCCTCCCCACTGTGTTGCAACCTCCCTGCCTGAACTCCTTGACCTTGTGGCCAGGTTGGCAGTGGAGTTCCCCAGGCTTATGGTCTTGGGGGAGTTCAACTTGTTTCCCTGGGGGCAGGATCTGAGTTAGCTCAGGAGTTCATGGCCACCATGACAGCCTAATAATAGTATAAGGGAATTTGTAATTAATAAAAGGGAATTTTTGCCTTTATTATGTATTAATAATTATTAAGAATAAAATTATTAATTAATGTTTAATTAATAAAAGGGAATTTTTGAATTTTGTGAGGAATATGCTAGGCATATAAGGGAATTTTTAATTAATAAAGGGAATTTTTATGTGTACTTTGCTGTGAAAGTCTCCCAGCGTTGCCAGAATGTATGCTGGTGGCAACGTCAAACAGTAATGTGCTAACCATTGAATTAATTCTTAGTCTCGGCAACAAGAAAAGGTTACTGAATAATTCTGCTGTCTGGTGAATGATTCTTGAAGGTGCTAGGAGGTTGTTTAAATTGCATTTTATTGTCACTGTGACTCGGACATTCCGATGCCAGGATTTTTGGTTGACAGCCTTTAGCCTGCCTTCACAGCCTTTGCCTGGCTCTGCAGCAACCTTGAGGCTGATGAGATTTTATAAGACAAAGCAGGAATTGTGAAACAAAAGTCTGAAATAGAAGTTTGTTGTCTGTTTCCAGATTTTCTGCAAATATTTTTTCCAGTGATTTGTCTTTGCATATGTTCTAAACTTTGCCTCACTCCCTGTTTTAAAGCATGCCCTACTTAGGTTTTTGCTGTATTTTGTTTTCTTTCAACACTGCCAATAACACTGTGTTACTTTATTGGAGTACCAAGCATCCTGGCAGCCAGCATCAGGCTATTAAGTGATTTGGTTTGTCGTTGTTTCTGGTACTGCATGAAGATAAAAGGGGATCTGTCACCTTCCATCCTTGGGTTCTTTGGTCCATATCTTGTGGCAGAAGATATGCAAGTCCTAGGTTCAAACTCTGGCATCTCTAGATAATAATTCAGGTAACAAATAATTGTGTGTGGGGTGGGACCCTGCCTAAGCCTCTGGGAAGTTTTTGCCACTCAAACTATGTAATGTTTTGCTGGAAGATCTGATTTATTATAAGGCAGTTCAGACATTTGTATAAATGTTAGCAAGAGAAAAAAAGTGCAACTTTCTGTAGTTAGACTGCCATTATCAGATGTATTAGCATTTGATTCTTTTTTTAACAAAAATGTACTGCTTTTCAGTCTGTCTTTTATTCTGTATGGATGTTTTGGCCTCAGCAGCAAATGCAAAAAGTTTCATTTGCTTTGCATTGCATCTGTGGTATTACAAAAAAAATAGTTGCTTTCATATGTAAAATAAATAAAAGTTTGAAACTGCAATGCATGCTAGTATAACATGTCTCCTCTTATTTGGCTTATTTACATGGTCAAATGTGAGTTCTGTAATATAAGGTGCTGTACAATTGGCAGTGGCTCAAGAAGATACAGACTTCTTATTTTGAGGAGCTCAAGTTCTTAACACTTTATCCTCTTTATTGAATATTATTACAACATTTCAAGTTTGGGTTATAGACTCATCTTTCATTTACTGGAAATCTGGACTGTGATTTCCATCTTCTCTGTTTGTTTCTAAAAAATCCCAGTTTCCAAACACCAGTGTAGATACAAACTGATTCACTCCATAATTATTTGTGACATTCCACCCTATGTAGGAGAATGAGTGAACGTGAACAGAGGTCAAGTCTGTTACAGGAACAGGTTGGATAAACTTCTGCAGAATAGAGATGAAAGATCTAAGATTGCTTTTCTTTATGGGAATATTATTATTGTACTTAAAGGTCAATAATGCCTGATGAAAATGTCACTTTTTGACGAATTACGTAATTGGAAGGCAGAGTGGAAGAATGGTGGCATTTGAAGTCAATATAAGACAAGAGATTAACTTCTGTGTAAATGTGACTCTAGGACTTCCTGTTGTTTCTGCCTTCATTTATGTTGCCCAATAAATGAACTTCAGTACTTGACAGATAAGAAGATCCTCTGACAGTGGCATTCTGCATATAGTATAAATATTTAAAATTACCCAACATGTTCAGTTATCAGTTTATTATATCTTATTTTGCATGCAACAAGACATTAACCTATGAAAAGTATAAGACTTCTCAGTTCACTGCAGACACTTGCACAGTAATATCGTCTAATAATTTTAAGGTTGGAAACTATAGTTTTCTTGTCTCTCCCCCCCCCTCCTCCCCCCCATCCCATTCTTTCTTGTACCAGGTATTCAGAAAAACGTTGGTAAAGATGTTTGAAGCTCAAGAACTGGATTGTGTTTTTCTAGAGACAAATTTAAATATAAATAAGCAATATCACATGGTGTATGAATGTATTCCTCTTCCAAAGGAAGTGGGGGATATGGCTCCCATCTACTTCAAGGTACCTATTTTTTAACATCTCTGGTTTTCTTGGTTATGTGCTTTGATCTTTAGAACCTAAAGCAATAGCAACCCTAAAGTGAGCTGTGTGAAATTATTAGTGGTAGTATTGTATAAAATCTCCAGGTTCCTAAATGGTTTGTTTTTACAAGAAGGTTAGTCAAAACTAGTACCTGGAAAAAATCTCCTGAATCATACCAATCTAGATGTGGAGGTGGCATTATCTGCTTTGGTCTAGTAGTTTACACTTCCCAGGACTGGGAGGGAAAGGCATGAGTGAGACCCACCAGCATAAGTGGAATATGTGGTGTTATGAAATGGAAACCAAATTTTTCTAAAGATGGCTGGTTTGGATACATTTTCCCCAACATACATGTGTCATACTTTAGTGACAAGTCATGTACATAATACTAAAACTGAATGTTGAACCCACAAATACTTTGAATTTTGAAGCAATTTAAACAGCATTTAAAGGAATTAGTAAATGAAATATGGGAGTTCTTATTGACAGTGGTAACATGGCATTATGATTCCTTGGCTTGAATGTACTTTATTTCTTTTTTTGGGGTAATGGTGGTGGTGAGTGTGTATACACTTAAATAGAGTTCACATAACTGTAACAGTTATTAAGGGTCAATAGCATTTATAATTCTGTAAACTGAAAATTCTTATTTTGAAGTAATTTATGTCAGGGTGAAGTTAAACTGCAGTTCTGAAACTGTAAAATAAAAAGGGAAAGGAACAGAATAAATTTATTACCATATCAGTCTTCATTATGCTTTAATCTATGGAAATCGAATTATATAATTAATATGTATTAATGAAATTGCAGTCTTCCTTCTGATCTGACTTTTGGGGTGGGGGGAGAGGTCCAAATGGAATTCTGCTTTGTGTCATACTTTGCCATTTTGTGGATGTTCTATATATTCTTGCAATATTTTTTTCAGAAAGCTATAATGGAATCAGATGAAGAGTGGGCCATGAATAAAAAGCTGATTAATCTAGGCTCAAAAGATATTCGCAAATCGGTATGTATTCAGACTTGTCACTTGTAATGCAAAGCTGATTTCTACATGTGAATGTGGGCAATGTTTTAAAAAACAGTGTCTAGAAAAATACATTAAGTTAAATTGATGAAAAAAATGAAATCTGAATTCCAAGGTCAAATCCAACCATAGTAACACTGATACATTTCAAGGAAGCTCCAAGAGATACCAGTGTGGAAATACTTTCTAACTGTCTTGTAAGTTCTTGAAGGTATTGGCTTTATTGGCAAAATTTCAGTGTTTCAGTTCCCTTTTTATCATATCTAAAGCTGGAGTCTTATATATGTAATTACACTGTTCAGCCCCATTAAGTTCACTAAGATTTCAGTGAAAGATGCACGGGCTGCATATTTATGCAGTGACTTATGGGAACAGTTATCTCCTTGAACTGGGTTTTACTTTCACTTAGAATCTAACTTTCAGCTGGATGGTTTGTGTCCTTCAGAAGAGCTATGATGCAGAGTTGGGAAGAAAGACAATTTTATTTGTTTGTTTGTTAGATTTATATCCTGCTTCCTTCCAGGGGTTCATTGCTGCTTACATAAGGAACTTCTTCTGTTTTTATCCCCCAAGCAGCCACTCTGTAAGGTAGATTGGACCAAGAGAGAATGACTGGCCCAAAGTCACCTAGTGAGCTTCCGTGGTGGAAGGTGGACTTGAATCTAGTCCAAACATCTAAACCACTATGCAGACTGAAATCCTTAGGTATCTTATTGCCAATATTGTTCACTATGTTGGGAATTATAATTACCCTGGGTTATTAATTACCCTGGGTTAAGAACACCTGGGTTACAGACGACTCATAGTTAAGAACAGAGCCTATTGTAGCAAAATTCAAGTTAAATACACAATGATTCAAGTTAAGTATACAATGGTTTGAGTTCATTATACCATAATACTTATGTTCTGGCTTATATACAAATTCAATGTAAGGATGGACCTCGGGAACAGTATTTGTTGTTTAACTGGGGATTTCCTGTACTAGTTCCATGCGAATCTCTCAACTGAAATGTCTCATCAATTATAATTACCCTGGGTTATTAATTACCCTGGGTTAAGAACACCTGGGTTACAGACGACTCATAGTTAAGAACAGAGCCTATTGTAGCAAAATTCAAGTTAAATACACAATGATTCAAGTTAAGTATACAATGGTTTGAGTTCATTATACCATAATACTTATGTTCTGGCTTATATACAAATTCAATTTAAGGATGGACCTCGGGAACAGAATTTGTTTTTTAACTGGGGATTACCTGTACTAGTTCCATGCGAATCTCTCAACTGAAATGTCTCATCCCGTGGTTTGCACAGGCCTAGCAACTATTTATCTTGCTGCAGCTCCTAATTCATAGTTCTTTTTCAGGGCAGCTATGTATTCAGAAGTCTCCAAAATCAGTCTTCCTCTCTCTCCTCTCCCTCCCACACCCCATCAGCTATGCAGTGGCCTTGAGATTTTGAGAAAATAGGTAGAAGAAGATTCTAGATAATACAGAGAGCAGACTTTCTAGTTCAGGGGTGGGCAGCATTTTGTAATTTTGAAAGCATGTCATGGATACCTTTTCATAGGAAGAACTTGCCTATTAACAACAAGGCTGTCATAGTTGACATGCCTATCCAAAAAAACACCTGTTTATTAGGCAAATTAATGAGGTTGCTATCCAACATTGTGTTGCGAGCATAGGATGCGCTGTCTCATTCCAGCTTACCTTTATCTTTTCTTTTCTGTGCAAATAGATGCACTTTGAAAGAAATACAACCACCTTCCATTTTATTGTTATAATACTTTATGTAGGTCACAGAAACACCATTAAAAATAATACTAGAGATTGATGTTTTGCTTTGCAGTGTCCCTTTATTTATTTCTATTGTTACCTTTCATGGTAAGCAGCATTAAGCGAAGCACAGAAAAGGAGCAAGTAATAAGTGATAGAAATTAAAGGCACAAGATTAAGATGGGCACAGTGTTACCTATTCCCAATTTAGTATATAGATTCCTATTTACTGCCAACTTTTAAAAAGATTTTTGTTAACATTTTTTCCTTTGTTATTTGACTTTCTGTTGGATAAGTAATGTAATGGGTTATTTAACACTGTTCTCTTAAATCATAAAAGCATGTAGTAATGTTAGGATAATTTATTTTCATGTGTTTCAAAATCAAAAATTTCAGGGCTTAGTGCTTCTACCAAAAAACAATTTTGTTTGCTTCGTATTCCCACTTACTCTCTCTGGTTATTCTGCTATAGAGTCTGCAACATTACATTGACTATGGAAGGGTATCAAAATGAATTTTGCAAAGCAAATTTAAACTCCAGGTTTGGGAAAAAAAGTAAAGGGATGGTAACATGTCTAGCTTTGAAATACAAGCACATGCCTTTTATTTGCACACCAGTGGGAAGTGTATCTTTACAGGTGTTGGTGAATTCTTAGAACATCTTCTCCAGATTACTGACAGCACTAAGCCTGCCCTACAAGTAAATGTTGTGATATTTGCACTGTTTGACAATACAGGATGCCCTTAGAGTAAGACATCTTATATTTTTGAGATAGGTAGAGGTTTTAGTATAATTCCACAAGAATTAGTCAACCTTTATTTGCTATTAGTTTCCACTGTCTCCTCTGAAAATTTTTGTATTATAATTCTTGACAGCTTGTTTTTTTCATTTGACTGGGAAAGAAAATGTATGTGCTTCATCATTTATACTTATATTTTCTGTGGATATGAAGTTCCTTTGGTAAAATTATTATCTTCCTCCTCCATTATCGTCATTATTTTAGCTATATAGCACTGTTCCTCCCAATGGGTCACGTAATTTTTTGCTTTACAGCCGTGTTGCTTAGTACCAGAGTTGCCGGTCCCAATTATGTTTTTTAACTAGGACTACCTTTACAAACTTTGCCTTGCATGAATTGAAGGACATCTTTCCATCACAGAAGGCTCTTGATCAAGTGGAGGAATCCCCCTGATAGAGATGGCTTTGCTGAATTCCTTCTGGAGAGCTCCATTCTAGAGAGTTGCTTGACACTTCAGTATGGATTGGGGTTGGAGGAGGGTGAAGAATTGCATCATTTCCTCTTTTGACAGGAGGAAACTCTGGACCCACAATACAATATACAGTCAGGTCCAGAAATACTGGGACATCGACACAATTCTAACATCTTTGGCTCTAT